GGGGACAAAAAATTGTACAGTTCAAGGTTAAACGTTTCTTGTTTTGCACGATTATAACAAACATGAAAGAAAAAGTGGTCCTATTATTTCCTTTAGCCCCGTTTGGCCCCCATTTTATGGTAATAAAAATAGGCAGAATAGTATTTTTTTGAAAAATGAGTGGTTGAAAAAGAAGGAAAAGTTTTTGATTTATGTGTAATATTATTTTATGAAAAATTGTGTAATAGAAAATAGGAGAGAGAAAAATAAAATATAATGGAATAAAAATTAATAAAGGCCAAACAAGACTTAATCTTTATCAAAGTGCAATCAATTTTTAGACGAGAAAAATATTAAGTGAAGTAGAATTTAAAAAGGATTAGGATAAGAATGGGACAAAAGTTTTTCTTGAAAGTGATGAATCGCATGCCCTTTTATACTCTTCGAAACCATAACATTTGCACCTCAATTTCATTGCTATTTGTGCACTCTAAACATGAGAACCGAGAAGTTAACATATCAATCTTTGACTCACGTGTCAGTGTCTTATACATGTTAATATTACTCCATCCCGTCCAATTATATTGGCTGAGTTTTCCTTTCCTTTTGTCCCCAATATATAAATCTGTTTTCTAATTTAGAATATTTTATTTTGTTTCTTTATTAATATACCCTTATTCAATTTTCTATACTTAATATACAAATTTATTGAAATCATCCAAATACACACAATCTCACTTCTTGGAAACATAAAACAACTCTCATTTCTTCTTCTTCAAATTAAATTATTCATATTCTTTACTAATGCCAACAATAATTTACTACTACGTACTGAAAATTAAATAGGGGTAAATTATGAAAGATTTTGGCAAAAATTAATTTTCTAATGACTTTAAAGAAGATTTTTTAATCCGAGTGAAAAACGAAACAAATCCATATAATTGGAACAGAAGGAGAAACATAAAAATTAACAAAATTTGTTCAACAAGGCTAATGGCACCAAATCACTAATAGATTGGAGACGATTCCTACTACAATAATATGTTGAATTAGTTGCTACGAGCGGCCAATATTATTATTTTCCCTACTAGAATATCGAAAGATTTGTGAATATGACACATACTCTTTGCATCACATGTCATCATAACAGAAATTCGTATTTACTGAACAAGTGAAAAAGTTACAAAATTATCAAATCAAAGTTGACTTCTGTCAAAAATAAAAGAAAAAGTCAGGAATCCAATGACTACAAGTATCATTGATTAGCTACGAACTCCGCGATTTTCCAAGTTGTTGAAACCATAATCTTTATATCGTATTACTACGGTTATCCAAGCAATATAAAGTAAGCCTATTGAAAAAGTTCAAAGTATTTGATGAAACATTTTGCACAAAATTAATCGTAAAATCTACAATTTTTAGTATCAACTTCATTTTTAGTACTTTGTGAGACGGGGGCACGTGCAAGTAACATTGGGTTTATAGCTATTTGTGAAGTTTAAACGTCGTGTTTGGAGGCTTACAACTCCAAGAGACTTACGAATCTGACACGCCAATCTTTGCCTCCTAATTCTATCAATTCAATACATTAATTGCAACTTTAATCATTAATTTCAACGCATGCTTGTTTGGAATTTCTAAGCATCACTTTTATTAATGATAATTGTTCAGCTTATCTTTGAAGATTATCTTCCCCCAGTGTGACACTTTTTAGCCGCCAATTAGGTTTTTTTCCATGTTCTTTGGTACTTGGAAAATAATTAAATTTTTTTTTTTTTTGTCTTAATAGGGGAATTCATTGAAACATGAACACTAGATGATGATACTTTGAAATTATAGAATTAAATAAGAATCAAGAAAAGAAGTATTTATATAAAAATTTATTCTCACAAAATAATATTTTCTACATTCAAATGAATATCATCTCATTGAAGCATATTAATGGTAAAATCGTGTATTACTTAATGCTCGTTTGATGTACATTTTTAATAAATAAAGTTGATAAAAGTTAGTGGACCAGATAAAATGTATTGTTAAAAAAGAATTTTGACCAACTTTTTACTAAAAAAGTAACCATATCAAACAAATCTTTAATAACGTATAACGTTTGAACTATTTTTTTAACAATGTTAACTTTAAAGATAATAAAGCTTGCGGAAATTGACAATGAATCGATGAACTAATTTGAAACTCAAGGGAAAGGTATCTGCATGCTTTGCTGCTGAATGTTTCAAGACTTCAATCACCATAATTTCTACTTTTTTTCCCACTTGGAATTGTCTGTGATAGATAATAACATAGGAGAGTTAGTATTTCTTTCTGTAAATTTATCTGAAAATTTGAAGTTACAATCTCCATTTAATTCCTTTATTTTGGTAATTCAGAAGTTCAGAACATAAAAATGGTAATATATGTTTATATATTTATTTTATTTAGAACAATATTTAATTTCCTTATTTTAGGTTTCCTTGTAGTATAAAAATAATTTTTATTTCATTGTAAACCCTAATTCTTGTTGCTTAATAGATTGTTATTTTCTCTCTTTATTCTTCTCCCCTTTTTTTCTTCTCTTTTGATTGATTCAACATATTGTTTAAGATAGATCATATTGTTGTCATGGTATCAAAGCTTATAATTAAGTGAAATTCGAGCTATGGCATCCACTACTACTGAGATTGTGTGGTTGCTTTGGTTACTTGTAGATATGGATGTTTCTCATTCTTCCCCAACTCTTATGTATTGTGATAATACTAGTGCTATTTAGATCTTTCACAACTCTGTGTTCTATGAACACAAAAAACATATTGAGATTAATTGTCATATGGTTTGTCATCATCTGCAAACTAGCACCATTTCCCTACCTTTTGTTTTTTCATCGTTGCAACTTGTTGACTTCTTTATTAAGTCTTATCCGGTTCATCGTTTTCGCTTCTTGCGTGACGAACTCTTGCCGTTTCTTACTTTAGCATCGTAAGTTTGAGGGGGATGATAATATATGTTTATATTTTTATTTTATTTAGCATAATATTTAATTTCCTTATTTTAGATTTCCTATTATTTTAGATTTCCTTGTAGTATAAAAATAATTTTTATTTCATTGTAAACCTTAATTCTTGTTACTTAATAGATTGTTGTTCTCTCTCTTTATTCTTCCTCTTTTCCCTTTGAATTGATTCAACATATTGTTTAAGATAGATCATATTGTTGTCAAAAAAAACTTGTGTTTATCATTTTGATTGGTACAAAACTCTATTACTTTAGATTTCTATATTTGACAATAAATTTTTAATTTTTTTCTTTAAAACCCCATGAAAACACTAATTTTTAAGAAAAACGATTCTAATAGTTTTTAGAATATTGCAATACAATAACTTGATAATTATTTTGGAACATTCTTAATTTTATACTAAATTTTTTTTGAAATAAATAATCTTTGCACTTTTATTTTTAGTTTTGTAGAGCATTGCAAGGAAAAAGAAAAATGAATGGAATAGAATGCAAAAGGAAAGGGGGAATTGAAAAACTGGATAAAAATTAAGTAAAATTACATATATTTAATTCTCCAATTTATTGTACTAGTACTAATCTGGTCTTTAATTTTAAAGTTTATCCCCCACCTTTCATTGCAGTTATATAACAAGTTAGAAATGGACGAGATATCATCCAAATATTCTTTAAATTCTTACGGGACCCTCGTGTAAACACGCTTCATTTTAATTTTTGAAGACTAATCCAAGTTGCAAAACAAACTCTAATTCCATAAAATTCAATCACGTGACATATAGGAGTGAGCGCGATCCGATTTGGTCTGATTCCAAAGGAAATCAAACCGAATACCAATAAGAATTTTAGAAATAGAACCATTGGTTCCATAGCTAACTGTGGAACCGAACCAATCGGTTCCGGGTCCGGTTCGGTTCTTTACATTGAAAATGTAAAAATAAAATGTTCACTAATAAAAACTCTAAAAATGCTATCAACGTGATACTTTTAACAAAATATAGAAGAATCGAACATATTATTCAAATATTTATTTAGGTATAGATTTACAAAGTGAAAACAAAATAAAAATCGGGTAATCAAAGTGAAAACAAAATAAAAATTTCGCATCTTATAAATGAAATTATATATTCTAAATAAATTTATTTAAGTATATATTTACCCAATATTCTAATTTGGCTCGAAAATCAATTAATCAAAGAATTATAAGAAGAGACAAGGACAGAATCAAAGAGAAGAAGGAAAGTACTGAGTCTAAAATTAAGAAGTAACCTGATTATTTTTTATAAAAGTGTTGGAGATTAAGTCATATATTTTACCAAAAAAGAAAAAGAAAAAATCCAATGAGAACCGTCTGGTTCTCGCGGTTCCCATACTAAAACTTGGAACCGGACCAAAATCGGCATGTTCTTAAAAATTTATCCTAAAATCAAATTATTTTTTAGAAGATCCGGAATTGAACCGACCGATTCTAAACGTTTCCAGTTCGGTTCCACCCATTCTAAGAAAAAGTGTCCACTCCTAGTGACAGCTCACTAACAAGGAGCTCTACCTCCCAACCTTTAGATGCCATTTCCCCTCTACCCCTGTGGAGGAACTCCTATCTCTTTGTAAATGTGCGAATCTAACTCTATTTCTTAACAAGAAATAACTTTCATCATTTGACATTGATTGTGCCACGAGATGATAAGAATGAACAGTTGAAAACCAGTTTGCTATCTTTTAGAGGTTGGAGACCATCTAACTCTAGAATGATAAATTGGAGACTAACTATATAAATAGCCCCTTTTAGTTAGTTAAGAATCATATTTTCAATAAGAGTAATGTTATTCGTAATCGCACACTGCGGTAGTCGCCCTACGTGACATACATATGGCAGGTGATTATTTGATGTATTAAGTTTTATTAAATTTGTAATTGAAAAGTCGTGAATTTTATAAAAGTTTTGAATTGAGGAGAATATAATATTTAACAATCCATACAAGCCCAAAGCGAATCCAAAGAAGAAAGTTTTAAGCAAAAAGAAGCCATAGCTTTAAAAAGCTCCCCAAACAAGTACACAAAAACTCCTCACCTCCAACCATATTGCTTTTTCCTTTAACTTTATCAAAACCAGTCATCCATGGAAGAATGAGCCATTTACCAATTTCCAGCTATACATATCAAATTATAAGTTAAATTCTCTCTTTAAAACTCTTTCGAAGTCCAAACACAGCTGAAAAGAAATTCCCCCACCCACCCCACCTCCACCTCCTCCTCTTTGCTTTGGGGACTGCAAGTGCAAGCCTGCTCGCAACTCTCAAAGCTGCATTCTGCATCTGTATAGCCAAAAATTTTATATTTATACTATTTCTGCTTTTCTTTATATGCATACAACTAAATTACTCACAACCCCATAAACCAATACACACGTTCTCTTCCTCTACCATTTCCTTACACATATCTATCTTTAAAACCTTGTTCTTTCCTTCAAATTTCATTCGGTTTTGGTAAGCTGTAAGCAGATTTTGTTTGTTTTTATCCTTTCTTGGTTTGGGCTGCTCGAGAAATCAGAAAAAATGATAACTTTATCAGATTTCTATCATGTAATGACTGCAGTGGTTCCACTGTATGTAGCTATGATACTAGCCTACGGTTCTGTCAAGTGGTGGAAGATTTTCACACCAGATCAATGTTCAGGAATCAACCGTTTCGTGGCACTTTTTGCAGTCCCTCTTCTGTCTTTCCATTTCATTGCGATGAACAATCCTTATGAAATGAACTTTCGGTTCATTGCTGCAGACACACTCCAGAAACTCATTGTTCTTGCAGTTTTAGCAGTTTGGGCTAATGTGAGCAAAAGGGGTTGTTTGGAATGGACTATTACACTTTTTTCCTTATCCACTTTGCCAAACACTCTTGTTATGGGTATCCCTTTGTTGAAGGGCATGTATGGAGAGTATTCTGGGAGTTTAATGGTTCAAATAGTTGTACTTCAGTGCATTATTTGGTATACTTTAATGCTCTTCATGTTTGAATACAGAGGTGCAAGATTGCTGATTTCTGAGCAGTTCCCAGATACTGCTGGCTCAATAGTCTCGATCCATGTTGATTCTGATATCATGTCATTGGACGGTAGGCAGCCTCTGGAGACTGAGGCAGAAATCAAAGAAGATGGGAAACTTCATGTTACTGTACGAAAATCTAACGCATCAAGATCAGATATTTTCCCAAGAAGATCAATGGGTTATTCTTCAACCACTCCAAGACCATCAAATTTAACCAATGCAGAAATTTACTCTTTGCAATCTTCAAGAAACCCAACTCCAAGAGGCTCTAGTTTCAATCATACAGATTTCTATTCCATGATGGGCGGTGCTCGGAACTCGAACTTTGGTGCAAATGACGTTTATGGGCTTGCATCATCAAGAGGGCCAACTCCAAGACCCTCAAATTTTGAGGAGGAAACTGGAAATAATACAAACAAGTCAAGATTTTACCATGGAAATGCACAGTATCCAGCTCCAAATCCGGGCATGTTTTCCCCAAACAACGGGTCAAAACCCGTTGGAGCAAATGCTGGCAAGAAACCAAATGGACAGCAAGAAGGTGGTAAAGATCTTCATATGTTTGTTTGGAGCTCAAGTGCCTCTCCAGTTTCAGATGTATTTGGAGGCCATGATTATGGAGCATTAGACCAAAATACTAATGCTAAAGCTATTAGAGTCCCTGTGTCCCCTGGAAAAGGTAGAATCTATCTTGATGCATAGTTTTTCTTTTTAATAATCGAGTCGTTTTATTTTATTTTATTTTGTTTCGAATTATTTCAGTCGAGGGTCAAAGAGATCATAATCAAGAAGAATACTCGAGGAGAGACGAATTCGGCTTTGGAAATAGAGATGTTAACAATCTTGAAGGTGATAAAGTTGGAGATAACAACAAAGTGAAAGTCATGCCCCCTACAAGTGTAATGACAAGGCTGATTTTGATTATGGTCTGGAGGAAACTCATCAGAAATCCCAATACTTATTCAAGCTTAATTGGCCTTACATGGTCCCTAATTTCATTCAGGTGCATCCCATTATCACATTCCTATGAATCAGTTTAAACTTTTAGACAAATTTCTTAGAAATACCGAACATTTTCTTGCAGGTGGCATGTCGAAATGCCTGCTATAATAGCAAAGTCCATTTCCATACTGTCTGATGCAGGACTTGGAATGGCGATGTTTAGTCTTGGTAAGTACTCTATTAAAAACATTCTCTGTTTAATATAATTATTATAAATCTAACTTTGGATTATTAAATTGGTGTCAAATGAAAAAGCATGCTAAAAGCTAGGAAACCAACACTACGGTCATCATAACATGTTTGTTTCTTTATTCATCTTTCCTTCTGTCAATGGTCTTTATTTGTACAGATATATGCATAAATACATGTGAAAATGAAATAATTGAATAAGGATATGGGTTTTGCTAAGGCCCTGTTTGAGCTTTATTACTGTCTTGTAATGTATTATGGAATAATAAATTGATAAAAAATGTGCGATTAAAAAAAGGAAAGAAATTGATTTGCGTGTAATATTATTTTAATGAAAAATGTGATTGAGAATGAATACTTTAGAAAAAAGGGGGGAAATGGGGCTCAAACAGGGGCTAAGCATGACACCGTGGTGTACAATTCCCTCCATGATATTTTAATTGGGCGTCGAGTGTACAAGAAACAAAACTCTAACGATATGACTATTTGTACATTCCCTTTTACCACTTATAATTGATCCTCTTCTTATTGTATGATGAGTTACACATTTTTAGAAAAAGTTGAATTTTAGCCGTTGTTTAAACCACATTATTTTCATAAGAATGTATTTCTGAATAGTATATTGAAGGAAAATGTAGGTTAAAAAATAAGAAAAAATTTTAAATTTACGTGTAATATTTTTTTATTGAAAAATGTGTGATTGAAATTATATGAAATTACTATTTAAAAATGTATTTTTTTGATAATAACGTGCAGCAAACAGAGCCTTAATAAAAAAAATAAAAATGAAACCTGCAAGGGGCGTGGGGCTAGGGTGTGGGGATGATCATGATGGCCCATTAAATTTTTAAAAAAAAATTATTAATCACATATTTTTTAATAAAATAATATTATATAT